CATCCATAACATATTGTCAAGTCAGACATTCAACAGATGTTTTTTTCTTAGACAAGAATATCATCCATAAGCATCCATAACATATTGTCAAGTCAGACATTCAGCAGATGTTTGCTTGTTATCCATATAAAGTTATAAATTTTTAAGGAAGGTGCTATTATCCAGCTAACTGAACAAAATTCCTCCACTATAAATCCTACACGAGGTAAAAGGGAGGGTAACTTGTTTTATCTCTTTACAGGGGCCCAATAAAGTTTTAGGATTTGGTTTTCTTTTCTCTCTCCAGGTCATATTGACCTTACACTGTTTTCTCTTAATTAGCTCGAATCATTTTCTCAGTTTACCACAGCTGGGAAAAGGGGCAACATTCCAGGGCTCATTAATCCATCGGGAAAAGGGCAAAATTCCAGGTCAGAGTGTTAAACAAACCCCGCTGACCCCGGCACAGTCCCAGCTGAACACACCAACACTGGAATCATTTCATTTAATGATCAATCAAGAGCTTAAAGGATCCTTTAACACCCCCTGGAAGGGCAGGAAATCCGATGGGAAGGAGCTGGGAAAACAATTCTCTGCCAGCAAAGCTTTCCTGGACAAAAAGGGGGATTGGGAATCACAGCCCTCCGACCACAAAGATCGTTTTTGGGGCCGCTCTGGTGGAGTTTTGGGTCTGCTTTGACGGCTCCGTTCCCTGTCCTGTTCGTTCCAGGAATTCAGGGAGATGACCAACACTTTGGGTGGGATTTGACAGCCCATCCCAGGCCGAGAATTCCCTGCTCCCCTTGTCTTTAAAGCCCTGGGAGGTGGGACTTACATTCCTGAACTTGGCTGTCCAGGAATCCATGTGATCCAGGAGCTGCCTGTTCATCGTCACCCGCGCCCAGACCTGTGGAAACATGGAAAAACTCCTGGAATACCCACATTTTTAGGGTCTGTGACAATTCCTGCCACTTCCAGAGGAGGGAAGCTGGTTAAACACCGGAGGATCTTCTCCTGCCACAGCTCCAACCCAAACCTTGGCACAAAACTGTGCTTTTTAAAGGCCTGTTTCTCCCTTTGGGGTGCTCTTCCTGCTGGATTTACCTCCTCTGCTGCCTGTTTGGAGCTCAGATCTGCCTCATCCTTGTGTGCTGACGGAGCCTGGGACCTGCAGGCCAGCTGGTACTGGAATTTCCTCAGGATCTGGGCGTGGTCTGCCATGGAGCGGCTGTAATTCCAGAAGGTTGGGCTGCTGGAAGGGGAGCTGGAGTCGGAACTCCCTGGAATGAGTCAATCATTAAGGTCACACACAGTCATTGCCAATTAATCCTGGAAGCGACAGCACAGGCACAAGCCAGAGTGAAGGGATACACTGGAGTCACTCTGCAGAAACACTGGAGTCAGCCTTGGATGGATTGCCCCTTTCCAGGGAAAAACTGCCTGGAGGGAGTTCATTCCCTTTTACTTTTATCTTGATTGTCCCCATCCAGGGTAAAAACTGCCCGGGGCTTGTTCATCCCCTTTATCCTTGTCTGCATTGACCCTATCCAGGACAAAAACTGCCTGGAGGGAGTTCATTCCCTTTATCCTTGTCTGGATTGTCCATATCCAGGACAAAAACTGCCTGGAGGGAGTTCATCCCCTTGATCCTTGTATGGATTGTACCTATCCAGGGAAAAAACTGCCTGGAGGGAGTTCATTCCCTTTATCCTTGTCTGGATTGTCCATATCCAGGGTAAAAACTGCCTGGAGGGAGTTCATTCCCTTTTATTTTTATCTTGATTGTCCCCATCCAGGGTAAAAACTGCCTGGGGCTTGTTCATCCCCTTTATCCTTGTCTGGATTGTCCATATCCAGGGTAAAAACTGCCTGGAGTTCATTCCCTTTATCCTTGTCTGGATTGTCCCCATCAGGGTAAAAACTGCCTGGAGTTCATTCCCTTTATCCTTGTCTGGATTGTCCCCATCAGGACAAAAACTGCCTGGGGGTTGTTCATTCCCTTTATCTTTGTCCCTATCCAGGACAAAAACTGCTTGGAGGGAGTTCATCCCCTTGATCCTTATCTTGATTATCCCTATCCAGGATAAAAACTGCCTGGATTCACCCCCTCTGTCTGAAACCACCCCCACAAAACACCCCCCTCATCCAGGTGATCATCTTATCACCGCCAGCAGCTGCTACAGAGATCATGGATCACCTCACATTCCAAGCTTAGATCCAACCCAAAGGAATAATCTGGAGGAAAGCTGAAGCTCCCAAGCCATGGAGACGTGCAGAAACCCTGGTGGTCCCCCATTCCTCCCAGATTAACCTGCTGAGCAGTTTGCCAAGCTCCCAGGGATTCCCACAAATGCTCTGTTTACCGGAATTTCCCTCACCCACTCCCGAATAAAACCGACACCTTCCCATTCCCAAGCCGTTCCCACAAAATCCCGGACACTTACCCAGCTGGACTCTGTGCTGCTTCTCCTCCTCGTTCCTCAGGAAGGTGTCCAGGGATTTGACATCGGTTATGTAGTCATCCTTGTGGGTGCTGTTGTTGTACAGGATGGGGGAGAACCGGTAGTGGGACCTTATCCCGCCGCCCTCCGCCGCTCCCGGGGAATAGGGGGATCCATTGGGAGAGTGGCTGAAGCTGGAAACCTTAGGGGGAGGGGGGAGAGAAAAAAAAAAAACCAATCCTGGTGGGATTGTTTTTGTTTTCCTGATGCCTTAAGATTCTTTCAGTTTTTTGGGGTTTTCTAATTTTTATAAGCTTTACAAGTAGTTCCAGAAGCAGATTTTAGGAGCAGCAGCCCTTACTCCTCCACCCTTCAGCACAGCAGTTTACACATTCCTCTGCCCCTACATGCCCCATTCCATGCTCCCATATCAATATTCCCTGAATTCCGGCAGAAGATGTTTAGTCTCTCTTTTTAAGAGGAGGCCCTTTTGTTTAAGGACATTTGTGGCTTGGCCTGAACCACAAAAGTACAGTCAAGAACTGGGTGACCACGTACCCTTTTGAGCTCTGAAGAAGATGAAGATGATGAAGAAAAGCCCCCAGCCCCGATTCCAAGGGGGTGGGATGAGGGTGGGCCAAA